AGAAAGGTCTTAACGGCATCAGGACACACTTTCTGTGGCCCTCTGGGAGGCCACTCTGACCTTCCTTCTTCAATCAACTAAGTCATGAACAAAGTGGCTGTGGTGTAGACATGAAGATTATGCATGAGGCCAGCAGTGGGAATTTCCACCGAGTGAATGTCAAAGTTGTCTTGGCTCTAGCCACTGGTGCCCATCTGCTGGCCAAAGCGAAGCCAAGTCGGGGTCCCCAAAGTAGCACCCCAGTCTGGGGGGACGAGCCAGCTCTCTGACAGTAGGTCAGTCGCCGGGATCCCTTCCGACATGGAAAGGCTGTGCCTTGTTCTCACTCCACAGGAACTCAGTCTTCATCTGGATTTGCCTTTCCTGCCCGCAGTCCTTTTGCCATGATCTGTGGACTGATGGAATTCTTATGTCTTACGCACTGTTCCACAGCGCTTTGTTTCGTGCTAACTTAACGGTGGCAAAGGCTCATGCTCACCAGATCCATTAGTCTTTGCCTGTGCTCCATCACTTCGAAGCAGCTGAAAGGTGGAATTGCTCTGACAAATGCAGTTTCTGCGCTGGACGGATGGAGCACTCCACGGGGCCAGGCTAATGTTCTGGTAGATGCAATACATTCTCTAAATCATCAACCAATATCTGCTGGGCAACTTAGCAAGACCCTATCACACACACACACACAAAAAAAAAAAATACTAAAAGGGCTAGGGTTACAGCTCTGTCTGGAGGCCCCAGGGCCCCGGGTGCTGACTGGGATGACTGACTATCGCAAGGAAATGGAACTGCTGCAAGGCTGTTGGACTAAGGAGTATGTCTAGATCCAGGGGCATCTTTTATACAGTCATGTCCCGTAACTACGTTTGTTACTATAACAAAGTAAATAAAATACACCCCAGCATCAACTCTATTGCCATGGCCTGGATCCTTCTAAAAAGCAAAGGATCTTGTAACCAGGACAGGTAAGGCACAGGGAGCAGGAGCTGTGCTGCACTTGATGAAGGTGGAGAGTCCATGGGTTGCTTAGGGAAGTAAGGAAGCAAACACCAGCTACAGCCACAAGAGCAGCTACAGAAATCAGAATTGTAGAGTTCAGAATATTTCTTAGGTTCACACAAATGTATGTTTACATATTTACTGATTCTTTTTTCTGCCCTATGCATTGTCTAATATAAAAGGTGATAAATCAGTTTCCTCTGTATTCGTTCCCTATGGCTGCTGTATAAAGTAGTGCCAAATGGGTTATGACAACAGAGACTTATGCCAGACGTCTGGGGCTGAACATCCACACCAGAGGTGTTGACCGGGCCCATTTTCCTGTGTGGCCTCTGGGGAGTGTCTGCTGGGTGATTCTCTCTGCCTTCCATGATCACTAGTAGTCCCAGCATCCCTGGGCTTGTAGCTGTATCACTCCAATCTCACGATAATCACTGGGTTCAGCCCTTCTTATTCCAATTTGACCTCTCATTACCTTTACTATATCTACAAAGACTAGTTATAAGTCCAGGGTTTGGCCTTCAACATATCTTTTTGGAAGGCACATTTTAACCACCTTATACCTCAGTATTTAGATTACAGAACATCAGAGAGTGGATTTCAGTTAGGAGAGGATTTAACATTATCCTCAAATGGATAGGGTAACAAAAGGGCTGTGGGTGGAGGGTGAATGTGTTTTCATCTATATGAGAGAAAGATCCTGTAGCAGAAGCTTCAGGGTTCTAATGTCCTTATTTGGACATTCCACATGGTGTACAGAAGTAAGGCTGAATGGGCAGAGTGGCAAGGGGTGGACTGTGGTGGCCACATCAGGAGCTACAGTTCCCAGACCCAGAGTTCCCTTTCCTGTTTCCCATGGGTTAAGATTTGCTGTACGGGAAATCTGCACAAGGTATAGAAGCGAGGCAACAGCACTGCACTCTTGAGAGGCGCCAGGCTCTAACAGCACGGCACAGTTTCATCAGACCATGGCTCACCTTGATTTAGGCAAAGGCTGTGGCAGCGGCTCCTGAAGCTCACTCCAGGTTTCTACACTGAGCTTCACCGAGTCCGGGTGGGGCACATGTTCAGCTCTGAGGCAGAGGCTCCCAAATCCATGGAGCTCCACCCAGGCTGGTGCAGGGCTGGGATGGGTCCTCATTTCCTTCACACTCCTTTACTTCACAGCAAGCTCATCTCCTGGGTGGCTGTACCAGCCCCGAGATTTCCGGCCATCATCAGACAGCAGCAACGCTCCGCACTGGCATCTCACTCGATCCCACAGTGACCTGAACTCTGCTCCCTGTATAAACTCATTCCACACCACCCAGTGTTTGTGTTGCTGATCAAACCTGACTGAGTCTGGCAGAAGACATGGGAAAAGGTGGGCTCAGAGGAGGAAACTGAGGCCCAGGGGCAGCGCTGCTCCCACCGCCTCCTGTGCCCTGTTAAACCCTTTGCTACTGCTCATCCACCTGCCGGCCAGGGCTCATTCATTTTCTACCACCCCCCAGTCCTCCCTCAGTCCACACGACAGCTGTCACTGCTCGCGGCTTACAATCAAACATCTGACGTTGATGTCACACGTTTGAGGGGATCCCACAAATGTGTATGGCTTATTTCCAAGAATCTGTCCACAACCACAGTGAAGGTCCATGTTGCCTGACCGGTACTCAATATGGTTTGCCTTCCAGAAGGAGGTGTCTGGATAGGGCGCTTTCTTAGCACTTTAAGCTGTGAAGAGGTCTGGCTCTAGGTCTTTACTGAAGTAGGCTTTCTCCCCCCAGTTTTCTGCTGTTAATAGGCGCTCAGAAGGTCAGAGATCCTCCATTTACTGCAGGTCCATACCTTCCTCCTTCACCCTACACAGGCTCTCCCTGGCCAGCCTCCCGCCTCCCCGCTCCCCACCACCCATCCTGTCCAACAGGGGCTGGCGAAGGCTGTCCCATGAGGTGTGCCGGCTCCACGTTGGTGGGACTCAGCTGCTGGGAAAGCATCCGCAGCTGACTGTGCCCACGGCAGCTGGGGCTGCTGCTCCGCTCCACGTAAACTAACAATGCCTATGGTATCTGCTTTTTAAACATGGTTAGCAACCTTACAGATTCTAATCAATCATTGAGCTCAGCAGCAGCACACCGCCCTCGCTGGCTCAGAGCAATGACTCATCGGCCAGAGGCACTGCTTTCTCAGAAGTTCTCTAGCTCAGGCCCACAGCAGCCCAGGAGCTAGCGAGGCCCAGAGGGCCAGAGTCCAGACTCCAGAGGCTGGGTTTCTGCACTGCTCTCACGAATGGGTGACAGTCCTAGTCATGGAGGAGCGGAAGCCAAGTGGCTGAGAGCAGATTGGTAGAAAAGACCTGAGCCTCTCTCCGTGCTCGTGGTGTGCAGGCTGGCAGGGCTCCTGTTCACCTCAGGGCTGACTTTCTCCTGAAATCGTGAGCCTCAGAACACAGAGCATTTCTGTGTAGCTGAAGAACAAATGCGATATTGATTCTTTCTCTTGTTTTGTGGAAAGGAAGGAAAGATGGAAGGAAGGAAGGGAGAAAGAGAGAGAGACGAGGGAGAAGAGAAATAAACACTTTTGACATATTATCAGAAAGATAACATCCAAATTTAAACAGAAACAAATTTTCTGGCAAACTACTATATATTTTAAATCATTATGTATCAAAAGCTGATACGCTCTTTAAATATGCTCTAGCACAAAGGAAATAGTCAGCTAACAAGTTGATAGAGTAGAAAATACCGTAATAAGGACTCTCTTCACTTGATGAACACTTCATATTAAACTAAAAGAATCCCAAACAGCTCAGTGAATTCCAGTTAAATTCAATTTCCTCTTTTCTAATCATAAAAGAAAAATCTAAATGGCTTTTGGCACAAAAGTTATTTAAAATATAAAAGGCAAAATATTTGTTATAAAATTTGTAAGCAGACGTTCACTAAAATATTGATGTCGAATGCAGTCTCAGAGAAGCGGACACACCAAGGCTCGAGTCACACCTGCAAATTTCAGCCTGCTGCAAACCTGCCACCGTGTCCCTTGGACATCTGTGCTATGGGGCACAGAGAACATGTGGACCCCGGTGTCTAGGCTGGGGATGGGCCCACAGGCAAGCTGACCTCTGAGGGGAGAGGGGAGATGTAAGTGACCAGGCTGGCAGCAGTGGGAGGGACCATGAGGACCAGGAACGGCAGGCCGCACAAGGGCCAGGACAGGCTTCTAACGGACACTGGCCCCTAGCGCTACCATGGCTCCCAGGCAGGTGAGAAGCCTGAGCCTGCTGTGGCCTGGGTGACACAGGCACCACGAACAGGATGGCACGGCAGAGGACACCACGGGACGGGAATGGTGACTGGACGCAGTGTGCTTCTGGTGCCCCCAAATCTGCCTGTGCCACCCGTCCCTCTCCCTGGATGAGGTCACGAGTCTCACATCCCCTTGTGTTTGCTGCAAGGCCACTGGATATGCGGGGATGGCGAGTTGAGGTAAATGAAGAAAATGGAAAAAACGACACATCCTGAAATGAGTTCCATTTATATAATGAAAATAAATTTTTTACACAATCAACAGAAACACACCAAGATTTTTTTTTTTGCGAAAAATATTTTTAAATAAATTTTTGTCTTTTTTTTTACATTCTGATATACATATGTAACAAGGGTTATGGCACTGTAACCAGAATCAAATCAAAAGGGAAAGGGAGGAAGGGAAGTAAGTGGCCTCGTGGAACCCTTTCCCCCTGGCTAACAGATTCACCCGTCCATCACCGCACCAGCCTCAACTCCCTGCACACTCAAAACACCATATTATTGCACAAGAGCCCATGAAGGCAGGCGGTATAACAGTCACTTTCCTGCAATTCAAAAAAATCTCTTCAGCCAGACGGGGAAAGATCCAGACACGAAACCCACTGAGTAACAGCGTCCTCGGTCTCTTCGGAGAAGGCAGAAGGGTTCTGGGCCACCGCAGCCCCGAGCTTCCGGCTGCCGGCGCTCGGGTGTGGGTGGCGGGTTTGGTTTCCTACGTGGTGGCCCGGGGAGCCCGAGCCTGCAGCATTCGGGGTCTCCTTCCTCACTTTGGATTCGTCTGCATTGGTTTAAGGTTTGGTATCTTCGGTCTATGAGCCTGCACAGACTATTTAGTTGTAAACTCTACAAATAGCTTAAAAGGAAAAGGGGGAGAACCAGTTTTAACATGTTTTTATCGTTGGCTTGACAAATGACTTCTTCAACCTCCCTGCTTGTCATTTTGCAGGAAGTGAATCTCAGTGGCCTCAAAAGTTTTCTTCTCGTACTCATTAAAAGTAGTCTTTAAACAGTTTGCTTCCATTCACAAACTATACCCCAGCTGAAGGACAGACAGAGAGAACCTGACAGGACCAGCGCCCGTCCCCCCGCAGCCCCGGCAGGAGCGCCTGCCCCGAGCTCGCTGTCACACGGCTGTCTCCACGCCGGCGAGCTTGGGTGTCAGGATCCGGGGGGTCACACCGTGGTTGAGGTCTTCCTCGAACTCCAGCAACTGCCCCATGAAGTTAAGGTTGGGGGAAATGATTGGTCGTTTGCCTTTGACGAATTTGTACGCATCGGTCATGGTCATCCACGTGTGCTTCATTAGGTAGGCGATGACGATGGTGGCGGACCGCGACACGCCGGCCTGGCAGTGGATGAGCAGCCCCTTGCCGCACTGCTGGGCCTCCTCTGGAGGGGAGGGCAGAGAGGAGAGAGGTCAGCCGCCCCGTGCCATGCAGCGCCAACACGGCACACCGGATCAGCCAGCACCCTCCTGACCCGCACAGGCGGCTACCTCAGGAGCTGCGCACCTCCGGGACGGGGAGCCGTGTTCACCCACCAAGGCTGGCGGAAGCGGGGCCCGCAGGCAACCTGCTGCTCAGCCAGGCAGAGTCGGAGGACCCGCGCCACCCAGCCTGCTCCACACCCTTGCTCCCCTTCCCTGACTCCTGGAGTCACACACTGCAGAAAAGAAAGGAATGAAGGAAAGGGAGGGAAGGCAGAAAGCAGGGAGGGAGAGGCGGCTGCGGGCACAGACACAGCACACAAATACACTGTGTGGGTGTGTAGCGCAACCTCCCTCTCAGGGGCAGGTCACTCTGCCCGCCAGGTGTGCGCCGAGGTTAAACGTCTCCCTCGGGCTGCGACTGAGAACAAACACACTTTCCCCTTCATGCTGTGAGCTGCTCTGCTCCGCCCAGCAATGGAACCAAGTGGGTGAGAGTTCAGTCCTCCGAATCTGACCAAAGACAGAGGAAGAGAATCCGATGGAAAGCGACTGCATTCAGCTGCTCACTGGACATACAGCTGCTGCAGGAGCCCCCTCCAGAGCGCCCGGCCCGAGGCCATCTGTGCTGACACTGTGGGTGCCAGGCACCCTGAGACAGCTTCCCAAGGAACAGCCGTTCCACAGAAGGAGGGTGCAGGGGCTGCAGAGGGTGGAGTGTAACTTACACCACTGTCCCTGGCTACTTAGCAGCCAACTAGGAGGGAAGTGGACGCAAGTGATTTCTGTCTTAGAGATCTACAGACAAGGCTCACTCCCAAGAGACAGTGACAGCTGAAAGGAAATGAGCACTTCAAGAGAATCTCCCTGTTCAGTCATCCCTTCAGTACATGCTATTCCTCCCCTTCAACTCGAGACCAGGAGGAAGACAGTGCAAAAGTGCTGCTTTGCATCAGCCTGGCCGAGGTCCGGGCGCAGCAGCTCAGTGACCTCCCCGGGCCTCTGTCCTCCCGCCTCAGGGATGTGGGGATAAGATCACCAGATTCAGAGTTAAGCCCTAACCCTAGACACTGCTCCGTTCCTAGTAAACGCTCAGAGACTATCATTATGCTTCTAAGGCCCACCCTGCTTTCCCAAAAGGAGCACCATAAGACTTCAGTCTATCCAACAGATGACAATGGACTAAACACTGTGCCCCCATGGGCTGTGATTCTGAATTGTTCTTCAAGCTAAATGCTATTTGTTACTGGTTTTGTCTTCCTTCTTAAAAAAAAAAAAAATTACAGGTAAACCTGAGAAATCTATAAGGAATGCAAGCGCTTTGGTTGAAATCCTATTAGAACAAGCATGCTTATGTGGTTTGTTAAATAGAAAACAATTTCCCAACTTCCTCTACGTGGAGCTAAGTCCAGGGGAATTGCAGCCATAACACTGTGTACCAAGCAGCGTGTCCCTGTCTGCTGGGCACAGATTTCCTCATCATTGCTCCGGGCAAGAGGAGGCACCCATGTGCCCTGCAGTGCCGGCTGGCGGGTAACGCTGCCCTAGTGCTGTGGGAAGCAGTCAGGGCCCTGGGCCCCTCTCTAGCAGCCCCAGAGAGAAGACGAGTCATCTCTCCAGCCCAGGGCCGCCCTGCATCTCCCTCCACCCTGAGTGCCCCAGGGTCCTGTGCCACAGGCACACTGGCAAGGACAGTAGCCCTTGCCCAGAGCTCCAGCTCTCCAGCAAGCCACCGGCATTGGTTAGACCAATGCTTCCTTCTGACAGAGGAGCTGCAGCCAGGGGTGTGCTCTGCCTGGGATGGAGGCGGGAGCAACTGTGGAAGAGGAAAGTACCAAGCACCGCTCACAGCAACAAAGGCCCGGGTCGCTTGACAATGTGCAGTACCTGCTGGGCACCAGGGTTCCCCAGCAGCTGTGTGAGCCCTACAATGGTTCAAGCAAGAATTTTCCTCTTTGGGACCTACTGGAGGCCACACAACCTGACCTTTTCTTGTCCCTGAGGGAGGGAGAGGGGGAGGGAGGAAGTGAGGAAGGGAGGGAAGAGTGTGGAGGGAGAGATGAGGGAGGGGAGGAGAGG